CGTATGCAATAGGGTGAAGTGATTTATTTCTCCATCTTCTTTAATGACAGTTCTGCAATCTACAAAAAAAATGTATCTGTGAAAGGGAAAGGGACAGAGTTCAGGTCTCTTGAGAAAGTCAAGCTGACACAGTCATGGATTTGGATCTGGTGACAAATGAGCCAGGGATCCTCTCAGGCCTTGCCCCACTGGTTGCCCTAGGAGACACACAGTGTTGAGAGCAGGTTGTGCCTTGCCCTAAGTTATTCTATACTGTGTAAAACACTGGCTTCTCAGAAAGTGCCTTGCCCTGAGAGACTCCATTTTACATGCAGCCTCTGACTACATTTTGAGTACAAATACAGAAGCCTATGACTCTGCACCTTGTTGGGCATGTAGACAGCACCACCAGTCTACCACCACCTACAGGGCACAGACTGATTAACAACTATTTCTAAATGTAGAAAGGGTGCCACCTATAACTTTATCAAAGTAAATTGAGGCTGTAGGAATAAATGGGTATATTTAAGTTGTATCAGGAAAACCAGACCTGAGAATTTACTGGATGCACCAGACAGAGGAAGGAGTATTGAAGGGAACCAAATAGTATAAAGAGAAGAGATTGGGTTAACTAAAGAGAGTTAACTGGGCAAGCTGCTTTGGAAGATCACAAGTCAGTTGGAGGAATGACACGAAGTTTGTTGCACACAAGGAGCCGTGTGGTGGTGTCCACTGGCACACTGACCGACACCATTTTGAGCTTGTTATTCCAAAGCCTAGGATGTCCTTGAAGATAGTCAGTAGCCATAGCAGGACTTTGTGCCTAGATAGTAACTGGGGAAAAGTAGCTGGGAAAACGTTTGTGTCCTGTGAGTAATCACGTACTGTGCTTCTGCTTCACATGCAGTAATTTCTTTTTGCAAGACCAATAAAAGGAAAAGCAAAAGGGCACTCAGGGCTCTTGCCCTGGAGGTGCTGAGCCTTCTGCTACCTTTGAAATAAGCATTCCCCGTGTCCATGGTTACTTTCAGGTCTGAACATCTACAGAATATAACTTCCTTACCTGGACCCTATAAAGTGGATGACAGCTCCACCAACCTGTCATCTGACCACCCAGTGAATGTGTCACAGAACCACTCTGTGTGTGTGTATGTGTGTGTATGTGTGTGTGTGAAGAGACCAAAAGGCAGAGAACTTCTGACAGTCTCAGGGTCTCCAGCTTGGCTCAGTCGCTGCTGTTGATGTGGCTTGCTCGATTGCTGTCCATCCATCCACCTGCCCATCTTTCTGGACCTAGTCTTAGTCTTTGCTTACACAGTCTCCAAAATCCTATGCCACACTTCCACAGCTCAATTCTGACCCTGAAGCTTGCCTATAAGGTGGCAGCAGTGATAGCATCACCATCATCATCACCATCATCGTCGTCATTGTCATTGTCATCTCAGAAGACTCAGTCTGGTTTTTTATCCTAGTCCCTGTGGAGACTCTTTATAAATCCTTATCAGCTTCTGCCTCTCAGGCCTCTTCGAAATTCCTTGAACTCTGTTGGGATTTATTTAACATATTTTTAGCCATCTGTATCCTACATATATACACGCATAGAGAAATATTCACGGTGTGATGTGTATTGCGTGATCTGAGTAATAAAGATTGGAGCAAAAGAATTTGTGTTTGTCTTGGCTAGTTATCAAGGAAAGTGGAACTGTTTGGCAATGAAACCATTTTATCATGTGAATTTGTTATTCAATAAATTCTGACATTGTAGAAAGACACAAATGTGTCCATCTGTTCTGACATAGCATGTTCATGGCAGATAGGGATAACAGTGACTTCCTACAAAGCAACCCAGACCTGGTTGTCTACCATCCTTCAAGAAAGGGAAATAGTCTAATGCTTTGAAATTTATTCCAAACTTTTGTCTTGTACATTTTCCAGGTCCTGTCCCTCGCTGAATTCTTCTGGCCATGCATCTTGTTCATGATTCTGATAGTACTTCGTTTTCAAGAACCTCCTAGACATAGAGATAGTTGTAAGTTTCATTCTGAATACAGTTTTGGGATTACAAATCTGTTCTTTATCAATACTAAATAATTCATGTTCTGTCATGACAACAGCACTGTACTTGAGGTGTGTGCCAACAAGAGGCAATTTTGTTTTCTTTGCCTCTTATGAATGACATTCACAGATGTTTGGTTAGTCAAACAGACTTATCCTCTGAACTGAACTGAATCCATTTGGACCTGGTAATAGAAACAATTTTACATTTGTGAAGAGCTAGAAGCAGAGATAAAGAGAGCTGCATTTCATTTTACCAACATAATTCTTATAGTGGCGATGGCCATGGTGGAGATGGCAGTGGTAGAGATTGTGATGATGGTAATTCCCTAACAGACCTACTGATAACTTATTGCGCTCCAGAAACATGGCCAGTCAGATCATTTTGTATGTCTGATTTGAATGCTCAACAGTCACACCTTTTGAGAAACGGTGTGTTTTGTTTCTGACTATGCTACTTGAAATGCTCAATGTGTTTGACTTTGCAAGTTTTACTTGAATAAGTGATTATATTAAATGTTAGAATTTGTTAGTAATATTTGTGTTTTTCATATAGAGAAAGGAATGACCCTGATGACTCATTTGTGATGTTTGGGGACTGTGTTGTATATTGCAGAAAATGCTGAAGCCACTAAGACTTTAAGTAGGAAGAGCTGAAAAGCTTTGTCAGGATTCTTTTTTATTTTTTATTATTATATATTTTTATTTATTCATTCAACAAATATGTATCATGGGCCTTTTATACCCTAATAGACCTTGCTTGGGGGGGGGAATCTATTAGAATGTAGTGGGAGGGGCTTCACACAGGAACAATTGTGTTCAAGGCTAGAGAACTTAACCTCCAACCGACCAAATACACACTGGGATGGCTTCCATTCTGATGTGTTCTTGAGTTAGGATACAGAACCTTCTAGAGGAATGAATCTTTTTGGGAGATGGGACAGGGTCTCGCTATGTAGTACAAGTTGGCCCAGAACTCACTATGTAGACCAGGCTTGTCTTGAACTCACAGTGATCTGCCTGCCTCTGTACCCTGAGAAATTACTATTACTGGTATATTACTCCAGATCTCTCTATGACCTCCTAGAACTCTTTCTTATCTATGCTAAAATTTCATCTTCCCAGCTGGGCACCGTGTTACATGCCTTTAATCCCAGCACTCAGGAGGCAGGTGCAGGTAAATATTTGTGAGATAGAGGCCAGGCTGGTCTACATAGTAAGTTCTAGGACAGCTGGGGCTGCAGGGACACTCTGTCTCAAAAAGACCAAATAAATAAATAAATAAATAAATAAATTCTATCTTTCCTTGAGCATCAAACCTGTTCATTTAGCCATTTAATCGTTGTTTGTTTATCAATTTAGTCATCAAATATTTGGTGAACGTCTTCTGTGTGCAAACAAAATAAAGCAGACAAACAAAAAGCAATGCCCGAACGCTGGGCATAGTGGGTCTTCAAGTGTGAGTGAGGGAGATTATGTAACACCAAGGCAGGCATCAGGGGGAAGGGTTTGATCAGCTACAGCACACAGATCAGTGACTTCCAGGTTGCTTTCCATTATTATAGTCCCCACACTCCCGTCCACCTGCATATGTAAAGAGTAGATTTGATTGGTGCACATTTCATCAGTATTTTATTGATGGAGTATTGGCTTAGTATAGCAATATTTTTCCTCAAAGGTTTTGACTGTAGTAGTGCAGAAACACATTTTTGAAAAAAATATTTTATTTATTATTTTTATTTTATGTATATGAGTGTTATGCCTGCATGAAGGTAAGTGCACCCATGTCGTGCAATGCCCACGGAGGACAGAAGAGGCTGTCGGATCCCCTGGAACTGTAGTTACAGACAGTTGTTAGCTGCCATGTGGGCGCTGGGAATTGAACCTGGGTCTTCTGCAAGAACGGTCAGTGTTCTTTACTGCTGAGCCATCTCTCCAGCCCTGCTTTTTGTATTTTATGGTATTTAGAAATTACGCTTAAACATTGAAAAATAGAAGCTGGCCTGAAAGCTTTTGTCCAAACTTAAAAACTCCTCATTTTTAACTTGAGATGCAAAGAAGCTTGCTTTCTTATTGGTCCCACTCACCGCTGATTTGCAGAGAGCTGTGCTGGAAGCTTGGCTGTGTAACAGAGCAGTGACCACTCTGAAGAGGAAAGCTAGAGAAACATGGGGAGAGTGACAGCAGTTCAGCAGCTTGGTGGACACACCGGGAGGAGGTGCAAGGCGTCAGCGGTTTTGTGTTTCTCAAGTGGCTCCTCCGCTAATGTTATGGATCATGATTCAAGCGTCTAAACTAATTTCTTCCTTAAATCTGTGTCTAGGTTACCTGCAAGCCCGGGATCTGCCAAACCAGGGCGTTCTCCCCTTTGTTCAAAGCCTCCTTTGTAACACTGGGTCAAGTTGCAGGAACATCAGCTTTGAGAGTTCCAAGGATCATTCTTTTCGGTATGAGAAATTCAAACATCCTTTCTGGAATTCCTGGGATGATGACATACTCTTCCCCAACCTCCCGCAACCCCCAACGCTCACAATTTCATGTGCTTTCTGTGCAGGCTTAGTAATTTGTGATGTGTCAGGGATAGTAGAGGTCTACAGTCTACACTTCAGAGAGATACACAAATAAGTTTTATTGCTCAGATTCACATGATAATGGCTCCTAATGATGGTTAGCATCCAGTGTATTTGAGATTCACAGTATTCAAGATTACAGCATGCTAAATACCTATGAACAAATTGCATCAGCACATAATTATTTCCTGCAGTGAAACTGAGTCCAAAATTACTTGCTTAGTCCTTTTTCATTTTGATATACTTGCAAAATGAGTAATTTGGGAGCTACCTATTAGACTTTTCTTTTCTTTTTTTTTTACTGTGCTATAGATTGGCCAGGATCCTGTGTGAAGTTGTGATGAAATGAAAAGAGTGGCCATCAGCTCTTTCCTCTTTGCACTACCACCTACCGTGGACTGCATGATAGTGTTAAGGTGCCTCCTCAGGTTATGACAGTGCTGATCTGTAATGAGGTATTAATTGGTATTGATAATCAAGAGAAGAAGAGTAGGAGTTCGTTAAGGTGACAAGAATCAAAATGAAGAGACTTAACTTGGAGAATCCAGAATGTTCCAGAAACTTCTCAGATAGAAAAAAGAATGGGAAAAGGAGACTAGTTGATTGTGCATTTTGAGTTTTAACAGGTTGAACAATGTGGAGTTTATTTTGTTTATACTTGCTGCCATTTAATAATTAAGGATTTTTAAACATGAAGTTAATGTTAAAACAAAAAATGTTTGGCTTGAGCTCAGGACTAGCCTGAGAAATAGCTCTCACCACTCACCAAAGCAGCTTCTTGTAACAGGTGGAGACTATTCCAAAGTTTCAGAACTGGTCAAATGCAGAGAATACATGTCTGGGAGGTGCCCAGCCCTAAGTGACACATCTGCAATGTAACCTCTATACTTAAGGCCTCAGGGGACGTCATGGAAGGGGGCTGAGCAGAAAGAGTGTAAGTGCCAGAGGGACAGCACACCTACTGCTTGTTAATGCATTTTAGACATGTTATGGAAGCTACAACCATGGAATCTTCTACAGTATGGTAATCTAACAAGATCTGCATAATGATAAAACCAGTTGACACATCAGTGTGGATGTGGAAAATTTTACAGGGTGCTGTGTTAAGATGAAGAGCTACAGGAAATCAATGGATGCTAAGGGAGGGAGAATCAATTTTCTCTAGAGACTAACTCCTTGAGAGGTTATCTAGTCCCAAGTAGGCAGCCCTAAACACAGGTACACATTAACATCACTAAGTGGACTCAGTGTATTTTATATATATATATACACACACACATATATTTATAAATATATGCATGTATATGTAATAATAATCAAAGAAGAAGACAAAAATTGAGAGAGTGGGGGAACATGGGAGGAGCTGGATGGGGGCTGAGAAGGATGAAAATAATACAAAGATAATACATATAAAATTCTCAAAAATAAAAAGCAAAAAATAATAATAAAATGTTGGAAAAAATCAACAAAAGATGTTTATTTTTCAATTTTAAGCAGAATGTTTCTAGATAATTTTGGATGTAACTAGTATAATAATAATAATAATAATAATAAAAATAGTGCTGTCTATATAGCAAAATAGCCTCAACTGGATAGCTTATAATAAATACATGGGATGGGCATGCATGCCTTTAATCCCAGCACTCAGGAGTCAGAGGCAGGCAGATCTCTGTGAGATCAAGGCCTGCTTGGTCTACATAGCAAGTTCCAGGTCACCAGCTGGGGCTACAGGGAGACCCCGCCTCAAAAGAATCAAAAAGAAAGAAAGAAAGAAATGCATAAGGAATACATATTTATTTATTACAGTTTTGGCCACTGGAAAGTTCAAGACTTGGAAAGTGCAAGGTGGTCTCCCTGGACACCAATTTATAAAAACAGGAATCCTATTCACAAAGTCTCCACCCTTATGGCCTAATCTCCCCATGTCCTGTTATCTTAGGGGCAGATCTCAACATAAAGACATGGTGGGGGAAACAAACGTTCAGATGCTTGCTTTTCTGAGATATAAAACTAGAGGCATTCTATGAAGTAGTATACATCATAACCCTGAGGCCCTCTATGACCATCCAGGCTCAATCCCCCACCTCCTTTCATGCACAGAAAGAAAATTTAGAGCTGTGACTTCCCAGGGAAGTGCTTGAGGCCATGAGTTACTGCCACTTTTGTTTCAGGTCTCACACCTGTGCTTTACTCAGAGCGGGGAGTTGAGAGAACATGAAAGTAGAATAAATTTTTGTAGATCAGGAAGCAAAGCAGCCTGGCTTCAGCGTCTTCTGGTTCTGTGGTGTAGTTCTTCGCACCCAGCGTTTCTCACCCACCTATCTCAATTGTGAATATTAAGGATAAAATACAGAGGATATCTAGCCTAGGGGCAGGCTTAGAAACAAATGTTAGACCAAAGGGAGTTCTAATAAACTCTTAGCTGAATGGATGTTCCTGTTACAGGTTTAAAACGATTTTTTTCAACATTGACTTTGCATGTTGTATTTGTCACTTTTCTGTTGCTGTGATAGAAACACTGACCAAAGCAACTTATAGAAGGAAGAATTTATTTGAGCTATTGTTCCAAGGGGCGAGAGTCCATTGTGATGGGGAGGCATGGCCGCAGAGGCAGCTGGCAGAGGAGCGGAAGCTAAGCTTTACATCTTCAAGCAGGTATAGGAAGCAAGAGAGTAACTTGAAATCAGGCAAGGTCTAAGAACTCTCTAAGCCCACCCCCGGTGACGTCCTTCCTCCAGCATAGCCACACCTTCTAAGACCTCCCAAAACAGCCCCACCAACTGGGGACAAATGTCTAAATACTTGGAGCCTATAGGGGACATTTTCTTTTCTTTTTCTTTTTTATTTTTTTTGTCTTTTTGAAGCAGGGTCTCCCTGTGGCCCCAGCTGTCCTGGAACTCACTATGTAGACCAGACTGGCCTTGAACTCAGAGATCCGCCTGCCTCTGCCTCCCAAGTGCTGGGACTACATGCGTGCGCCACCATGACCAGCTCTTTTTTAAATTTTTTAAAAAATTAAAAAAAATTATTATTATTTTTTTAATGTGTGTGAGTGTATTGCCTGCATGTATGTGAGTGTACCCGAATCATGCAGTGCTGCAGAGGTCAGAAAACGGCTTCGGATTCCCCTGGAACTGGAGTTAAGGATGGTTCATAGCTGCCATGTAGGTGCTGGGAATTGAACCCGGTCCTCTGCAAGAGCAGTCAGTGCTCTTAACTGCTTAGCCAGCCCCTATAGGGGACATTTTCATTCAAACCATCTCTCATGAGTGTGTGTAGATATATGCATATGTGTGTATGTGTATATACTGTGGTGTGCATGAGGAGGTTGGAAGACAACTTGAGGGAGTTGGTTTTCTCCTTCTATTATGTGGGTTCTAGGGAATGAACTTAGATTTTCAAACTGTGCCAAACTGCTTCACCCACTAAGCTATCTCATCAGCCTCTTGTTTTGTTTTACTTTTAAAAGATTTATTTATTTATTTCATTTAAAAATATTTATGGCCTGGAGAGATGGCTCAGTGGTTATTTAGTATTTTAATTTTATGTGTATGAGTGTATGAGTGTATTGCCTGCATGTATGTAAGTGTACCCGTGTCTGGCAATGCTGTAGAAGTCAGAAGAGGGTGTCTGATTTCCCTGGAACTGGAGTTAAGGATGGTTCATAGGTGCCATCTGGGTGCTGGGATTCAAACCCGGGTCCTCTGTAAGAACAGTCAGTGCTCTTAACCTCTGAGCCATCGCTCCAGCCCCCAGAATTATCTATTTTTATTTTACATGTATGAGTATTTACTTGCATGTATGTAAGTATACCATGTGTGCGCAATGCCTGTGGAGGCTAGAAGAGGGCATCAGATCCCCTGGAACTGGAATTAAGAAGACTTGTTAGCCATCATGTAGGTACTTGGAACCAAACCTAATCCTCTACAAGAACAGCTATTACCTACTAAGCCATCTTTCCAGCCTTATATTGTTTTTTTTGTTTTTTTTTGTTTTTTTTGAGAACGGGTCTTCCTACATGTATGAGTATTTACTTGCATGTATGTAAGTATACCATGTGTGCGCAATGCCTGTGGAGGCTAGAAGAGGGCATCAGATCCCCTGGAACTGGAATTAAGAAGACTTGTTAGCCATCATGTAGGTACTTGGAACCAAACCTAATCCTCTACAAGAACAGCTATTACCTACTGAGCCATCTTTCCAACCTTATATTGTTTTTTTTTTTGAGAACGGGTCTTCCTACGTAGTTAACGTTGACCTCCAGCTCATGAGCCTCCTCCCTAAGTCTCCTGAGTGCTAAGATTACAGGTGTATGCCACCATACTGAAGCATAAAACATTTTTGTGGTGTTTTATTTTATTCTTTAATCAGCTGACACATTAACAGGCTTCCTTATGGCATTTTCATACATACTTAGTTTTGATGAGCCCACCTGTTACCATCCTCTATATTGCTGCCCCACACCCATTTAAACTTCTACCACCAAGATATTCTCCTTTCCACTTTAATTTTATATGTGCTTTATTACCCTCCCAGCCCTGTATCTCAAATATTTTCTCCCTCCCTATGGGGCGCGCTGGGCGCCAGGCGTGGACACCCATTTAAACTTCTACCACCAAGATATTCTCCTTTCCACTTTAATTTTAAATGTACTTTATTACCCTCCCAGCCCTGTATCTCAAATCTTTTCTTCCTCCCTATGGGGCGCGCTGGGCGCCAGGCGTGGAGTGCATGGGTATCTGCTCCTGCGCTGCTTCCCTGCGTCTTCCATGGCTCTCTGCTGCTGGGGCTTTGCCCAGCCGAGTCCCACCCTAATTTCACCCCTGCACTTTCCTCAAGATGCGAAATCCACCGGCCGCTGGATCACGCGGGAGAGT